AGGACAGGGACACAGTGCAGATTGAGGGGCACTGCGGTTGACACAGCAGGGGGACTGAGGACAGGGACACAGTGCAGATTGAGGGCACTGCGGTTGACACAGCAGGGGGACTGAGGACAGGGACGCAGTGCAGATTGAGGGCACTGCTCAAGGCATCACCTGGGAAAGAGGCAGCTCTCCTTGGCCCCGTAGGGTCACTAGGAGCTCTGGGGGCAGAGTGGGCCACCCTGTGGTCAGCAGTTGAAGCCCATCAGCCCCCGTGTCCTGTCGGGTCTGGGCTTTGGTGTCACGGAGACTCCTGCCTAGTGAGCAGTTCCCCTCGGTCCTGTGGGGTCCCAGCTGCTCTTGTTCGGTACTGTTGGGTTAGTCCTGCCTCCGAGCGACCCGATGCCCAACAGCACACTCCAGCCTCACAGTCGCGCTTGTGACGGAGCCACTGCGTGACCTTCTGCAGCCACTGGACTCTACTGAGAGCACGTCTAAAGTGCACGAGCACTCTCACCATCCCAGCCTCTCAGGGCGTCAGGCTATGTCTGAACCAACACAGATGTGTGTGTTCTTCCGACAATGGCCTTGGCCGGCACCGTCGTCAGTGAGCAGCTTCTCTGTCTGACTCACATGCATGTGAGGCGACGGACAATACCATCGCTTGGGTCAGAGTGACCCGACACTCTAAGGCGGTCTTGGGCAGCACATTCACCCAATGCGGTGCTCTGGTTGATTTCTTGACTAACCTTGAGCATCGGTTATGGGCCGGGAAAGGGGAAGCGCTGACCCTCCGTCTTCACTGTGAGGATGCTGTGATGTGGCCCTTCGTCCATCGGGAGGCTTTGGTTTTCTCTCTTTACACTGAGCGTGGACCACACTGAAGTAATTGACTGGGCCCAACACGGGGCCTGCTGCGTCTAGTGGGCAGTGCAGGGTGGGGGTGGCGTCCCCAGACAGGCTGGCACAGTGTTTCTGTGAAGGGGGGCCAGTGGGTTGTGGGCACCAGAGACTTGGTGTGGACCAGGGCCAGCTCGGGCCATGGTGCATGAGGGACGTCATCGGGATGGCTGAGAACGGCGTCAGCACATGGAGAAGCCGGCCTTTTGAGGTGGACGAGCCTTCCCGTGAACGGGCCGCCTGGCGCGGCTGCGAGAGCCCCTCTGTGTGCTCTCTCGCAGCCCCACCGTCACCACGACGCTGAAGAACCTGGGCGCGCTCTACAGACGCCAGGGCAAGTTTGAGGCGGCCGAGACACTGGAGGAAGCCGCGATGCGCTCGCGCAAACAGGCAAGTTTCCCTTTGATGTGGGCACGCGGGCCACCTGTGGGTCACCCTCACGCCCGTGTTGAGGGGGGTTTGGCCCAAATGGAACATGTGTTGGCCATGTTTGTTTGGCATCTAAAGTCTTGATGAATGCATAAAACCTTGGGTGTCCATGCTTCTGGACCCCCCCCCCCCCAGATGAGCAGAGCAGAGGAGCAGCAGGGCCAGCTGCTGGGGTACTCTTTTCTCTGCAGGACAAGGACCCCCAGGCCTGGGCCGCGTGTGTGGCTTCAGGCCACCCCCCCAGAGCCCAGTGTGGCTCTGACGGCACCATGGCGAATGTGGAGCGTGGGCCTCAGCCGAGGAGCCACGTCAGCAGTTCAGGAACACAGTGCAGGAAGAGAGTAAGGTGGCGGCTAGTGTGTCCCCGAGATTGCCCCAGCCCACCCCCTGCTCCCGGCACCTCGGCTCTGCTGTGGCAGCCAGAGGCCTGAGCGCTATTCGTGGCCTGCCCTCGTGACGGGGGGCACCTGCTGCAGGTCTCGACCAGACCCTGCTGAGAATGCAGACATCTTGTACCTTGTTCTGTGACGACCCTGGGACTCACGTGGGGACAACCCCGAAGGGCCATCGATTGCGACGTCACCCTGGTTTCTGCAGCGACAGGGCTGTTTGTGTGCGCAACACTGGCTAGTCCCCTGCAGGCTGTGACAGGGCTTTTCAAGCGCCCTTTGGGGAATTTGCAGTGTGCCCAGCTCCCCTGTGGGCAGCACAAGAGACCAACCTGCTCGCCAGGGAGCTCAGCAGGTCCGGAGGTGTAGCGCGGCAGGTGACAGCCGCAGCTTCGCTCCCTGCATCAGGCTCTCACTCTGGAGTGTGAGCGAGCTGGGGTCACAGCTCAGCTCACCCTACTTTGTGGTATGGTGAGGAACCCCAAAGCTCCGCCCCTCCCAGAATTCAGAGAGGATTTAAAAAAACTCAAGGAAAAATGCATTATCGTTCTATTCCGTTTTTCTACAGACTTCCTTAAAATCCCCTCGAGTGTCATCAGGGGGCTCCAACCCACAGTGACCCCCACATCCAACAGAGGGAAACGCCACCAGTCCTGCCCTGTCCTTGCGGTGTCCCTCCCAGAGGGTCTTGGGCTTTTCCTCTGATCTTCCGCTGCTGTCCCCCAGGGTCTCGACACTGCGCACAAGCAGCGCGTGGCCGAGGTGCTCAGTGACCCTGAGAGCGCGGAGAAGCGGCGCAGCCGGGAGAGCCTCCACACGGACGTGGTCAAGTACGAGAGCGGCCCTGACGGCGGCGAGGAAGTGAGTATGAGCGTAGAGTGGAACGGGGTAAGTACGGTCTGCCGTCGGCTGGGGCGGGCCTCCCACTGTGCCCACTGCACCCGCTGAGACTGGCGGCTGGGACTCCCCTCTGAGCTCTCTTGCTGACCCGTGCCCCAGTTGTTGGAAGCTTGTCCCGGTCTGGGTCCACGGTGACACTTGGGTTAGCGTGCTGAGTCAACTAACTTGCTTTTTAACAACACCCCCTCCCACCCCCGTTCCCTGCTAACTTCTGCACCGCTAACCTCACTCATCAGACTGACTCAGCTTGATTAGGATGCTCGCAGGGAAGTGATCTTAACACCCTCGGGTCCTTGTCTTGGAAGAGCTTAAGGGCAAAAAACATTTGGTGGCAACTTTTCTTGAGGTCCCCGCTGCCCTGTGAAGGGTGTCTGGTGGCCATGGGTCTCCCTCTCAGTTACTGCCACAGCTCCATTCTCGGCACATGCCTGCGTGCGCAGCCTGCCGGGCTGCCTTGCCTCTGCTTTCCTCAGCCGGCCACCCATGTGGCCTCTGCATTGCTCTCTGTCCTGTGTGCTTGTGACGCGGGGAGAGCCCTGCGTGCACATCGTGCCCCTGGGGTCTGTGCTCCGCAGGGAGGGGCAGCACTGGGCACGAGCTGTGACTGCTCAAACCTGCCCGTCCTTCGTGTTGTTTTCTGGCTGTGGCTATTGAATAAGAGCCACCACGCTACAGAAACGCTCTGTAAAGAAGGTGAATGGCCAAGACTTCTGGGAGACAGGTCTTCGGCTGGTTTGTATTGGGCAGCTGCCTTGGCCTGGGTTTTTTGTGCCAAGACAGCAGTAGTCACAATGAAATGGTGTCCAGTGTGCCTGGCCCTTCTCTAGCTGCTGATGGCCACTCACGGAAGTTCTGGGGGGAAGTTTCTCGATGGTTACTTCTCGGTCAGCATTTCTGTGAAACCACAGGACAGTAAAATTGATGACAACTAAAGAGTCCAGTCTAGAAACCGGGAATTGGGGGCTGAAGAGACTTGCTCTGATTCTGCCCTTGGGCAGACCCCACTGCTGGTGCATGGACATCTACCTCTGGGGCCAGGCCTGTGGAGATTCCGTGTGCTCTGCAGGATGGCTTACACCCAGCCGGTGGATACAGGTGCCGTCTGAGCACCAGGTTTGTCTCCCACCAATGCCTTTGTCCATCCGTCCTTCCTCTTGATGTACTTCTGTAGAGCAAGCACTGATACCCCATTACCCTCTACTTCCTCACCTGAGGACACTCTAGAACCTAGCTAGTCTCGATGCCGCTCCTTGCTCTTGCACTCGCCCGTCCTCTGTGACATGCGTGGTTCAAAGGCAAACAGTGTCTGTTACTGTCATCGTCACTCTAAGATGCTCACACTCTGGGGTGCTCGTGGCCCTTGACACGCGTACTCCAGGACTCTCCGTGCACTTGCCCCATCATGAGGGGTGCTCGCACGGGGGAGGGGTACTCCTCTCTAGAACACGCACTGCGTAAAGAGGCGCTCGTGCTTTAGGGGACCCAGACCTGCCTGCACTTGCTCCCTGTTAGACCCCTACTCCAGGCCCCGCATGACTCAGGCTCGTTTGTCTAGGACGGTCACTACTGCCGGGCGGGCAGGCAGGCAGGTAGGAGTACTTGCGGGCACTCACACACTGCCCGAGGGCACTCCCACTCTGGAGGGCTCCTCACTTGTTGCTCTGGGCCACCCGCCACTCCGCCACTCTCAGGCACCGTGAGCAGAATGACTCTCCTGACACACACGTTCTCGTGCGTTTTCAGAGCCGGTGTTCCTGACTCCCATCCTGGAGACTCCGTCTTGCATGAGCTCCCCCCCAGGCTGAAGCCGCTAGGCCAGTCCAGAGGTCTCGGGGCTCCTTCTGAGCAGTGGCTCTCACACAGCGGGCAGGAGCTGGCACTCCAGCCGCCGTCCTGGTGCTCTGAGGTTGCCAGGGGCGGCGTCAAACTCACAGCCTTTGGGGCAGCTGCCCATCTCTTGTCCAGTGGGCCGTGGGCATTAGTGCACCCACATACTACTGTGCAGGAGCTAGGGGCCATCCTACGGCTGTCACCCTCTGCAGTGGCTTCTGTGTTTGCATGCGAGAGGGCAGCAGTGCAGCCATAGCTTCGCCGGGAGGTCCCAGGGGTGGCACCTGGCCCAGGAAGGGCTCCCTTTGGCTCCGGTTCTGTTTACAAGCAGTGGACTCTCTCGGTGGTGGTAGTGGTGGTGGTGGCGAGGGGGAGGGGCTACACAGCGCACCAGACCTCTGCTGTCAGTCAGGCTCCTCTGGCCCTGCCACCCTGAGCGACTGAGCAGAACTGGCTGCCCCTTGGGGCTTCCACGGCGATGGTCTCTACGGGAACCTGTGTCTCCTAGTGCACCTGGTGGGTTTGAAGCCTGCTGACCCCCCCAGGGCTCTTCACTCACAGCCGACAGCGTCTCCATGACGAGCCTCGTCGTCACACTGATGCCCTCCCTCCCTGCCTTCGCTGCCCCTGCCCTACACACTCTCGGCCCCCAGAGTGCCCGTCTGACGTTTCGGGGCCATGTGGGCTCGATCCCACAGACCTTAGAGGATCACACACTCCCGAAGGGCAGCCCAGCTCCACATCCGCTCAGCTTTCTGCTCTGGAGCCCACGCTCGGCTCGTCAGCGGTCTGCCTTGTGCCCACTGCGAGCATCATTGCACCTCTCTTCAAATAAGCAACACCCAGCCTGCCCTTCACAGGCTCCTCAAATGGTGTATTAGTCTAGGTACTTTGGAGAAACAAATCCACGGCGACTCACGTATAAGAGAGAGTTTTATGTAAAGAAAATGTGCATCACGAAAACATCCCAACCTAATGCTGCCCAAGCCCACAAGTCCAACATTAACCCATTAACCCAACACCAGTCCACAAAGTCCTCCACCTCACAAAACAGAGGCAATGATGCCGACTGCAGGAGGAAAGCTGAGTCAGTGAACGTGTAAGCATCTCAGCACTGGCAGGGGTCTCCACACGGCTGCTCCAGCACCCAGGGCTGCATCGGGATAGATCCATGCGGCTTCTCCTTGGGGATGTCTGGTAGGAAGTCAATCTTGCAAGCTGAAGCAGGGAACTGCTAAGGCAGCTGCACCCGATGCAACCATCACAAAACAAGAGACCCGAGAACTAGAAAGGCGAGGCTTCACCACCCATTTATCCCTCCGCCTTTCAACCAGACCCACATGTGATTATCGGCCAGGCTGGCACAATTAACTAACTCAAATGGGGAAGCAGGAGAGTTTTTGATTTAGAATTTTATATGAATAAAACAAAACCGCTGAGGGGCTTTTTGCCAGGGCTTCGTCCCCCCTCCGTGGTGCCAGGACGCCTAAGTCTGGACCTGAATCCCTCAGTCGGAGGCCTTTCAGGACCGTCCACTTGTGGGCCTTCCCCCAGCTGCCCTTCCACCTCCTCTCCCCCTTCCGCTCCGGCTGCCCGTGAGCAGAGGACCCCCTCTTGTGCTTCGAATGGCCACTTGCAAACGTTTAAGACCTTGCTACACATTTCTGGTGTAACTGTGTGCTATTCTAATTTGAGATTCACAAATGGCCTCAGCTCATAAACGAGGGCTTCAGTGCTCTGAACCCAGTTGAGGACCAGCCCATGAGAAGGGCGCTGAGCCGTCCCTGTGGAAGCTCACCGGCGGCAGGGGAGGCTCACGGGCCTCGGGTCTCGAGAGTGGTGCGGACACAGCAGCTTAGGCCCCTCTGTCTCGGCGCCAGGCGGCAGGGAAGCCTCGTGCTCTGGCTCCACAGTGGGCCCATCCAGGGGCGCAGTTCTGGTCTTCAGAGCAGCTCCAGCAGGCACCGTCCTTGGCACCCTGTCGAGGGGCTCGCAGCCAGCTGCTGCACGGTGCACGGTCGCCTTCTGGTGGAAGTCGGGCTCTGTAGCCTCTGCACGTGGCTCTGGGCCAGAAGTGTGACAGGGACGGAGGGGGAGGCTATGGGGCATGGGCTGGTGGTGGCAGGATCAAGGAACTGTGCTTTGGAAACCAGTCTCCTGCCCTGCGGCCCTTCACTTTGACCCTTAGGAAAGCGTACAACTGGACGGTACCAGAAAGAGAAGGACCGACCAGACGGGCGGCACTCGTCTGAGGGGCGGGGTCTTCCTCAGGTAGAGGACGCGCCTCTGGCTGGTTCTCCCTCTCCTCTGAGTGCTTCACTGTGCGCAGGACATTGACCCGCTCACCTCTGTTCAGAACCACTTCTTGGGTGGCGGTGTTTGTTCACGGCCCTGGGAAGTGTGAGTGCTCGGGGCGACTCCAGCCTCGGCTGTGTTCCAGGAACTGGCCGGGGCCCAAGGGCTGAGGACCCTGAGCCCAGGCCCACACTGTCCACCGTGGTGTGTGTGTATGTGTGTGCTTAGAAACAGACAGACACACATCTGACAACGCAGCCTGTGGGCTGTGCCTTCGGGTGCAACAGCCGGTGAGTTTGGTCTTGCCCAGTCAGCTGAGTCCCGAGACCAGGAGGCTGCGCCCCACTGGCCCCTGCAGCCCAGCGTCACTGTGAGCAGCAGCTCACCTGCCCTTCACTGTCCCCGGGGAGTGGGCAGTGATTTGTCTTTCCACTTAACGGTGAGGAACATGTTGTTCAGGTCGGTAAATGACCTGCGACTGCCTTGGGAAGCCTGTGTCCTTCCACTGCCCCCTCGTGTGGGCAGCGTGCCCTAGCTTGTGCAGTTGGTGGTCTCTCTGTGTTTCTGACTGTCCAAAATGCGTGTCACCCTTGTGTGGGTGAAGCAGTCCCTGACGGGCAGCCCTGGCTTGGCCTCCGTGGAGGCCCACTGCAGTCATGTGACCCTGTGCGGCCAGTTGGGGGGGGGACGAGTGTCGCTTGGCTGAGACCAGCAGTGGACTCTGATTGACAGGAGCCGGGCCCTGGGGACTCAGGGATGAGAGGCACTGTGGAGACCTGGTGCCCTGGACACAGCGCAGTGGGCAGCGGGCTGCTTCCTTGGGCGGGCTCACGGACTCTCTCTCTTCTGTCTGACAGGCCTAGCCGCCCCACAGCCTCTCGCTGTCTCCTGCATGACGGCACAGCACCTGTCCCTCTCCCTGCTCTTCTCTCCTCCTGCGCTGACCGCCGGCTTAGCCACCTAGGACCTGTCCACACCACTCTGCCTCCGGCCGCCTCCAGGGCCCTTGTCTCTGTTCTGCTAGCTTTGCCAGACATGTACTTAGCAGTGCCACTGTATTCACGACAGCCATGTACTGTGTACTTAGAGGTCCCCTTAGGGTCCACCCGGCACACTGGCCACCGTGGCCTCCTGCCCACGGCCCACGCCGGGTTCCTCTGACGCAGTCTCTGCGGTTTAGTCTTTGTGAGCAGTTTGGCATTCTGCTTTTCTTGACTAACTCTACGTGTTGAGTGATTTGTGTACTTGTGTCTTTCTAACTTCTAATAAACTTACTCCACTGACCACTGTCTCCCTGTGTGTCTGCTTTGTAGAAGGCCCTCTTCCGCTCACATCGCGTTGCGAACCTTCTGGAAGCAGTGGCGGCCCCCTGACCTCACTAAACGGCCTGTGTGCTGTGCCGCACCCCCTCACTCTGCTTGCTCTTCTTTTCTGGTGCTGCCAGACCCTCCACGCGCCAATGCCGGCTGTCGTTCTTGTTTAGAGGGAGGTCCTGTGTTCAGACCTCACTGAATGGAGCCGTGCTCTCGAGTGTGGTGAGGAAACAGTACACAGAAGTACTGCATTTCCGTGGCACGGTGAGGCAGTGGCTGATTTGCCGTGGCCGAGGGTCTCGGGAGCGCACGATGACGAGGCGTGGGCTTTGATTGTGATGCTCTCCCCAGAAGCGGCCTTCAGTTGGAGAGACTGTGTGGTTTTCCTCCGGGTTTGCTGCTGCTTTTGTCTGAACGAGCCACTTCACAGCCACAGGCCCTCGTGGTCAGCAGGCTGTCCCTCGTGAGAGGCCGTGGGTGGGTCCGGTCTGTGTGCCAGGGAGCTGGCGGTGCCTGGTGGCTGCCAGGGCGGCCGCTGCCCTCACGCTTGTTCACGTCTCTTTCAGGACGGCTCGGGAGCCTTAAAGCGGAGTGGCTCCTTTAGCAAACTCCGGGCTTCCATTAGGCGCAGCAGCGAGAAGCTGGTCAGGAAGCTGAAGGGAGGAGGCTCACGGGAGAGTGAGCCCAAGAACCCCGGGTAACTATCTCTCCCCGTCTCCGCCTGCCCACCCCCAGACAGGTGCACAGCCATCCTGGCACAGCCCCGCGTTGCTCCTCGGGTGGCAGCCGGCAGGAGGCTGAGCACATCCACCGGCCTTTTCGCAGGGCCCAGGGAGGAGCCGCTGTGAGGCCTCGTGTCCAGAGGCCCGACTCTTAGAGCAGGAACAGGCTCTAGGGCCCTGTGGTTGCGTGGTGAGGGGCCCTGGGGTCCGGTGGATAGTGCCTGGTAGCCGACCCTTCAAACGCCCCACTGACTGCACGGGGATGGCCTGGCTGCGGGCACCTGTGAGACAGAGCTCAGGACGCCCTCCGGCTGCTGCTCCCAGTCCTCGAGGGTCCCCGTGAGCATGGCCCTGCAGTGGGCACTGTCCACTGAGTCCTTCACTGTTAACTCTGTCCCTGACGTTCAGTGGGAGCGACAGCTGAGCCAGGTGTCATCCAGGTGAGAGCACAGGTAGGGAGAGGACTTTGTCAGGACTGTCTAGGTCTGCCCGATGGCTGAGAGGGGCTTTGAGCGGTGAAATGGACGTTGTCGGAGCTCGGTTTGTAAACGCCGTTTCCCGTGGGCCGTGGTCAGGCCGGCGAGCGGTACTGGCGTGTGTGCTGCTGGGGCGCCTGGGCTTGTCTGCTGGGGTGCATGGCGGCACTCGCCGAGTGGTTAGCAAGGTGGTTTAAAGGGACAGAGCTGGCGGCGTGTGGGCCAGGGTTCTGGGAACTCTCTTCTGCGGCTTCAGATGCTGCTTCTCTTTGAACTGTCGTAAAAGGTAGACCCCGGCTGTGCCCTCGTGTCACCCCTGGGACCCATCCTGCGGCAGCAGAGGGGCCAGCTCTGCCCCAGGTGGGCATGACACCCTCTGGACAGCGTCCGTCTGGAGGCAGAGAAGCGTGTGCTGCAGCGGGCCCACTCCCGACAGGCCTCTGCCCAGTGCTTTCTGTGCTTGGGGGCTGCTGGTGCTGGGAGGACCCTGGCTTCTGGACGTGTTTTGTCAGCGAGCTGCCTTCCTGCACACGGACACCCCAGCACTGCAGAAGACAGACAGACTGCCACGTGGGACAGTCTGTCCGACAGTCATGGGAACAGTGCTGCTGCTTCCCCAGGGCCACACGTCCCCCAGCTGGAGTGAGCGTGCGCCCCTGCCTGTAAAGGCCGCCTTGTGAGGAGACAGGTGCTTCTGCACCCCACTTGCCTTCACCCTTTGAAGGCGGCTAGTTATGACTTCAGCCATCCTCCCGGCTTGGGGGGACGGGACGCGCTTTGGCGGTTTGAGGATCTGGCGTTTTGAAGCTAATTCTGGCAGCAGGCTCCTGACAAGAGGCTGACTTCCCACGCGAGGGCAGCTGTGTCTCACACTTCCCTTCCGTCTTCACGATTTAAAGACCTGAGGCTGGCCGGCCGGCGTGTAGGGCAAGACACCAGCGAGTATGGGGGACTCAGGCCCTGAGCAAGCCCCCCCCCCCCCCCAAGGTGTACCTCACACCCTGGCACAAAGTGATTTTTAGAAACTTTATCCCCAAAAATGCTTAAAAAGGAATAACCTTTCCACATAAGATGAACTCTTTTATCCACAGCCCAGCGATTCTCAGACTTGAGCCACATCAGAACATTCGACAGGGTTGGTTCCAACTCCGGCCTTTGGACTCCCCACAGCCCTGACCCGTGGGTTGGCGTGGCGGCCCCCAGTCTGCCCCCCAGCCGATCCCGTGTAGGGCTGGTGGTGTGTTGGAAGCCCAGCTGGCTTCCCACCCTGGGCACAGCTCCGAGCGTGTCCTGGTGACGGAAGCATCTTGGAAAAATGTACCGGCCAATTTGGCAGCAGTATCATGAAATGGTGGTACACACAGTTCGTGCCGCTAACCAGAGGGGCCTCCAGGGACAGGCCTGCTGAGAGTGAGCCTTGTGACTAAGAACCAGTAGAGTGGTTTCTGAGGAGCTGAGGGTGTGTGTGTCCATCCTACCTCTCCTTCCCCACAGCTGTTTTCTCGGCTGCCAGCTGCTCTCCCATGCAGTTACCGGTCTCGCAGACTTCGGGTGGGGCATCACTCTTCAGGGGCCCAGCCTCTGGAGCTCGCTCTGCTCTCCACCTGCAGGTGCAGCCCAGCCCCTTGGAGATCTTCATGGAGGTCGGATGGCTCTGTAGCCACACCCACCACCTGTGGCCCTTTTCTGACATCCGAGGCTCAGTCCTCGGTCTACCCCTTTGTCCTGCCTGCCCCTTAGCATCGTCAGCCAGTCTGCCCTGTGCCCACTGCACATGTCCACCAATCTGGGCAGCCACCTCACGTCTCAGCTGCAGCCTGGCTCTTGAAACAGCCCAGTGACCCCCTTTCCCTGAGCCCCACGGGCCATCAGCGCCCGCCGAGGCCCCAGCCGCAGCAGCCTTCCCTCGGCAGCTCTCTCCTCCTGCCCAGCCTCTCCCCCAAGGTCGCTCCTCAGCCACTGGACACTGCAGCGGCACTCGTTACCACAAAGACCAGCCCTGGGCCACATACTTGGCTCCCGGGTGCAAGCCATGGGCGTCTCAGTACCCCCGCACGCTGTGCCCAAGCCCAGGTCTGCGAGGTCTTCTCTGGGCACCTGGGGCCACTGTATCTGGACAGCACCTCAGCTAAGTGTTGGCTTTGTCCTTCCCTCACCAGGTGCTGGGCCCTTACTGCTGCTGTCTGTCTTTCAGTCTTCTGTCTGTGTCAACCCTGCTTGAGCCTCTGCTCTTGACCCTAGGACAGTGACCACTCTGCGCCCCGTCCCCTCAAGGAGCCGGGTCAGCACCCGGCCCTGCTGACTGGGACCCCACAGTGGCAGTCACGAACAGCCCGCACTTCCATCCAGAGCCTAGAATAGACCGGTCAGGTTTCTCGGGACCGTGAATCACTTCAAACCCCACAGCGCTTCTGCCACAAAGCAGGGCGTGGTCTGAGAGTCCAGTTCACAGAACGCTGGCCTCAGGGTCGAGTGTACAGAGCACAGCCAGCTGCCTCACGTCGGTCAGGATGGAGCAGGGAGCCAGGGTGAGGTGCCGCCACCAGGTGCTTGGGCCCCCTAGAGCCAGGTGGCTCACAGGGGGAAGGAGCTCTAGATAGCAAGGCTGGGCTCCTTAGGGCACGTGTCCCCCGTGTGCATTGACACCAGAGCCTCAGAGGGGCCGCTTGCTCGTTAAAACGTCTGGCTGACGTGCTTCTGACCGTTTGTCCTTGCATGTCCGTCTACTGTCGCGGTTGCAGCCTGAAGCGAGCCAGCTCTCTGAATGTTCTTAACGTGGGCAAGGCAGCTGAAGACCACCTGCAAGTAAGAGCCCCTGCTCCTCAGAGGGTGGGCCACTGGGTGCCCGTGAGCCGAGGGGTCTGCAGCAGCTAGCACTCCGGTGCTGTGCCGGGGACACACGCCTGGCGCCTCAGTAGACAGCGGCAGAGCAGAGGGCAGGGCTGCACGGTGCCGTGTCTTCACACAGCCCACAAACCATCGGTGGTGGCACTCACGTCGGCACGCTACAGTCCAACAGCTGTCAGCGCCACACTGTAGGCTCCCTTGGGATAGGTCCCTTGCCTTCTCTGCGCCACTAGCTGGCACTTGGCCAGAGGGTCTCTCCCCAGTGGTGAGCCCCCCACTCTCTCAGTGGCCCCAAACCAGCCCCATCGCTGAGGGCAGCCCCTGCAGTAGGTGCCTTGGGTCACGTCAGGCCTGCTCCTGTGAGGTTTTGAGTGTAACTTTCCGTTTGTTTTTTCACGCAGGAACGAGATAATTGTCTGGCAGACTCACGAGTGCTGAGTGCCAGCCACACTGACCTGGCCCACTGAGGGTCCAGCCAGATAGATAGCCCCTGGCTACAGGAGTGCCGAGACCCCCGCCCGCCCCGCTCCCCACCACGGAGGCGCCTCCTTTCCCAGACAGTGGCAGCCACTGCCGTGGACACTGGCGTCTGCTAGCCCCGCTCTCGGCACTGCTCTGCAACTCCAACCAGCCCAGCTTCACGCGCAACGTGTGTCAGGCTGTAAACTGAGCGTCTGGATGCTTTTACAATGACACAGATGTAAAGACGCGTGGCAGTGACACACACACACACACACACACACACACACACACACACACACGGCACTTCCCTGGGCTCGGCCCCGCCCACACCGCTCCAGCCCTGCGTTGGGTTGGCGTCTGTGTGCTGGGCAGTTAGGACTGGGAGTCAGGCCCAAGTAGACGAAAGTGTAACTCGGGCTGCGCTGTGTGTGGACACCCGGCAGCCGGGCATGGTGGGGGCTGCTGCGACACTTAGCCCTGAGCTGCGCCAGGAACCTGCTCTGTAAACGGTCCTCTGGAGACAGCTGCCCCCTTCAAGGTCTGTGAGGAAGTGTCCAGGTTGTGTGGTCTTGTAGCGGAATGAGCCCGGGTAGCAGACTGACCAAGCCCCTCGTAGGGCAGTGGCTTCTGCGTTTTGGTCACCAAGACAGTGGGTGGAGGAGGAGGGTCAGCAGGGGTTGGCACGGGCTGGCCGCCCACACCTCCATTGTTCTGGGGATGAAAACCCAGTCTGTGGTCACACGTGAGTGCTGTAAGGAACTTGATCCGTGGCTCGGCACCTGGTCCTGATGGGTGTGCCCGTGTTGTGAATGTGTGTTTGTATTACATTGCACGCATACAGGGCACCAGGGTCATCAACGTGAGCTGGGGGCCCGAAGGTGTCTGCCAAGCAGGACTTGTTCAATGGGCCCTGGTGGCGGAGTTCTTTGTGTGTGCCCGGGGATAGGCAGGCAGCTGAGCCGTGCCAGCCACCGGGCTGCAGGACTTCATGGGGCCTCCTGACAGGAGGGGGCCTGTTTCCTAACAGATGGTGTGACTCACTCAGAAAAGTACTTGCTTATTTCTATTTAATTCCAAAAATAAAATGCATGTTCCGGCTGAGGTCCCTGTCCCTGAAGGAAGCTCACTGGGCACTTTCAGGCATGGGGCCAGGAGGGTGCACGAGAGGCCCGAGGGCACAGGGGACCACTCAGACTTGTCCACCTGCTCAGCTCACCTGCATCACCAGGACCCAGTGATGACAAGGGGCAGGGCTGAGGTGGCAGTGCCTCAGTGAGCGTGGAACGGAGCCCTCCAGGTGGCACAGGGGACAGGGCAGATGTGCAGGCACACAGAGGACTCCAGTTGGGTGCCCTGGTGAAGCGGGATTGCCCAGGGGAGGGGTGGGGTCCCACTTGCCACCCAGACTCAGACTCCTGCCGGGGATGTGGCGGGTGGGTCTGTGGGTGCTGAGGTGTGTGTGTGTGTGTGTGTTTTGGTGGTGGATGTCACTTGTACAACCAGAGCTTCACCAGCCCAGGACATATTTCTGGGCCAATTGCCCTCAGCCACTCTGTGCTGCATTCTGTCCACACTGGCTAGTGGCACAAAGCAGTCCAGATGCTTTCCCACCCCGCCATAAGTTCTCCTGCCCAGGAAGCCCCCAGCCCTCATTGCTTGGGGGCTGCGCGGATGGGGGGGTGTCACACAGTGCGGGGTGAACTGACCAAGGGCCACTGATGGGATGAAGCTGCTGCCCTGAGGGTTGAGGGTTCTGTGGACTCTGGCGTCACTGTGGAGACCCTCAGACAGGTGGATGTATGTGTGTGTTTGGGGGGAGGGGTGTCATGAGAGGGACATCAGCCCCTGGCCGTGCGTGGTAGCAGTGCATGCGAAGGCAGTGACAGCCCTGGGTCTTCCAGTCTCCCGCGGACATGTTTCCCAGAACCCGTGGGTGGATGCAGTGTCAGCAGGACTCTGTGCCCCGCACGCCCTCCGCGCTGACGGTGAAGGAGCACGAGGCGGGGGGCAGGTGGGGTGCGAAGACCACCCGCAGGGTGCGGGCCGGGGGCCCCAGTGGTGACTCCTCGCTGCGCGTTCGCTCTGCGGCCAGCCTGAGCAGGAGCTGGTTGCACCAGGCCATCCCCAGGGCCGCGCAGGCCCGCTCGTCGGTGAAGCTGAGGCAGAAAGTGCCCACCAGCACTGGGGAGACAGGGCGTGCCGCCCACCCTGCCAGCCCCAGACTCACCCCTGTGGCCCAGCAAGGGCCCGGTCCTCCACTGCATCCATGATCTGGGGGAGGGAGAGCAGGCACTGAGCCCAGGGTCCAGGGAGGTGGCCTCCCCGCCTGGGGTGGGGTGGGGCGGGGCGGGGGTCACCTGGTTGGTGCAGAGCACAGGGCTCTGGAAGGTGCAGCTGAGCCTGCGCAGTGCGGCCCCCAGTGTCTGCAGGCGGCGGGCCCTGGCGACTGAGGCCTGGCCGCCGAAGGCACAGCGGAATGGGGCGGCCACTGAGTCCAGCACCACCAGGCGGGCCAGGCCGCGCCCCAGCAGGACGGGCAGCCGCCGGGCCACACACTCCAACAGGGCGTCCTGTGGGCCACAAGGTTAGGGAGGCAGCCTCCTCTGAGGACCCTGTGCCTGCCTGAAGGACCCCACAACCACCACATCCACTGACCACACCCCCAGACTCTTCCTGAGCCCTGCCTGCTTGGGGCCCTCACAATCGTCAGCCTTCCCTGCCAGACCGGACGAACGGGGGCCACCTCCTGGTCCCCGAGGAGCCAATAACAAGGCCTTTGGTGCAGCGGGGGTTACCCTCATGGCCAAGGCCCTGCTCACGGGCAGCATTTCCTGGACCTGGGCAGAGGGGCAGTGCAGTTCTGGCCCTGACCCAGCGGTCTCTGCTTCCCCAGGGCATGTGCAGGGGAGGTTCTCTCAGCGGAGAACGACAGCAGCGGCAGCGGCCTGGAAGACGCTGGTTATAACGTGAGCACGGCCCTCCCCTCGCCGAGGGGTGGGGGGATGACACCAAAACCTTCCCACCTACCCAGCATATCTATCACAGGGTGGCTGAGCTGTGGGTGCCCTTCCCAGGCCCCACGGTCCAGCCCTCAGTGCTAGGAAGCCCCCAGTTTGAGAGGCAGGGCAGGCCATGTACACTTCCAAGGGGGAACCCCCAACCTGATCACTGTCCTCTCTTCCAGTAATACCTGCCGGCCTAGGACAAAGCTGTGTGTGTGTGTGGCTGCGCCCACCACTGTGCGGAGGTTGAGAGTCAGGGCCAGTGTGGCTGCCACACTGCCCAGGACGCCATGGACTGGCCCTTCTTGGACCCCCATTTTGGGGTGAGATGGGCAGCGTTGGGTGTGCTGACCCCCCCATGCTGCAGTCATGTACTTTACTGTATATTTAAAATTAAAGTTTATGAATCCTAACCTTCCTGTGAGTCTCCTTGACGACAGGGTGCCGTCTGTACTGGCTTGTTCCCGCCCCAAAGGTCACCCTCCTGGCTGAGGGGCCCTGTGACCCACGCAGACCCTCCCCTAGGACGAGCTGGAGCATAGCTCACCATCCAGGGACAAGGGGGACACAGGAAGGGACTGGGGGGTGGGATGAGGACCCTGCTGACACCCCCCACCACTGCTCTCCATCCCCCCCGCACCCGTTGCCTCTGGCCCACATGCCCCCAGGACACCTGCCCTCTGCCAGGGGTGTTTGCTATCCCGTGGACACTGGTTCCCTGGGAACTTCAGACCCATGATGGCCTGGGCAGGCGCGGGCCACACTCACCACATCGGCTGCATGCTCTACAAAGACGCGGTCACCAAATGGCACGGCTCGCAGCAGCTCCGCTGGGATGTTGTCCCGCAGCTGTGGCTGGTGGGCTATGAGCTGCTGCAGGCGTCGGTGCGGAAAGACCTCCTCTGTGCAGATGTACACGGCTCCTGGGTGGGGGAGGGTGTTAGCACCGCACTGTCTCCTCGGCACGTACCTCGTGGCCCCGGGCAGGGCCTCTGTGGGTGACTCGGCTGAGCATCAGCTGAAGTGCAACACTGCAGAGGCCTGGCCGCAGCCTGGACACCTGCCGCAGAGCCCGAGGGCAAAGTCCAGAAACAGCTGTTGGCTCCCTGTCCCTGCCCCCACACGAGAAAGCCCAAGTAAGATCACCTGGCTCGGGGGCCACGTGGGGCGTGTAGCTGCACATGTGTGTGTGCTGGCGCCTGTATATCATGTAATGTAAGCACACACGCACAGATGCAAGTGATCATGTATGTGCATGTTATGTGTGGGGTGCACATATGGGCGCCCTTTTGTACATGCGTGTGCATGTATGTATATGCTCATGTATACTTGTGTGTGCGTCAATCATATGTACCCTGAGTGGACATCTGCTCCTGGTGCTCTGGTGGTCCCCTGCTGGCTCCCCTCCCTGCCCAGCTGCAGGGTCAACCCAGCCCTGCACCCATGTCTGGATGAAGGTGGAGACGGGTGTCGTCAGACTTGGTCCCCCGCTGACCACTGCTGTGATCTTGTTCCTGGGTGCTCACCTGCCTCCAGGCCACCGTGCTGCCTCGGGAGCTGGACGGTCAGGCACAGCTGCAGGGCTAACTGCGTCTTGCCGACAGAGCTGTGCCCTGCCAGCTCGCTGATGCCATCCAGGGGCAGGCCGCCACGCAATAGGCCGTCCAGCACTGGGCAGCCCAGGCTGAGACGCTGAGGCTGCCCAGGGGTCTGCATCTGCTGGGACAGCTGCAGTGCTGCGGGCAGGTGGATGCCAATGGGAGCTGAGCAGGTGCGCAGACAGCCCACTGCCCCCCCCCCCCCCCCCCCCCCCCCACTTGACACTCCCCTGGGGTCAGGGGCACTGCTTGGAGGAGGGTGAGGTGTTGAACCCTGCTGCCCAGAGCACTGCAGCCCCAGGTCCCGGCCCACCCCACGCCCATCCTGAGGGGCCCCGATTCAGCTGCCACCTGTGAGGACTTCACTTCCCCGGAGGTGTAGGGCGGCTGCCTGCAGGGTGCGCCGGGCGTCGGGGGCAGAGAGCCCGGTCAGCCGTTGCAGGTCTGCCCCGGAGAGACACAGGAGCTCCCTCGCTGACCGCAGTTTGGCTGAAAGCATGATTCTGCCTGTTGGGAGGCAGCCCCGAGCCCGGGCACTAGGAGCAGCAGCACTTGCTGGAGCGAGAGCCTTCGCTGTCTGGCACTCGTCACGCCCCATCGCCCTGCCCGCCTGTAAAGTCCCACCCCTCACAGCTCAGTCCCTGCCCACCCAGCCTCTGGGGGCACGGGCCAGGCACAACCAACAGCACAAGGGCAGGTGGCTGCGGGCCCCGGGGGCAAAGCTCCTGTAGGTGGGGACAGGGTGGAGCGCAGAGCCCAGAAATACAAATGTCAGTTTACACAAATCCACAGACGCAGCGGTTAGGAAATCAAGCATTGGACAAGTCACTATGAAAGACCTGTTTCTAGAGTGTTACAGAGCAGAGACGTCACTTTGAGGACTAAGGCACCCAACTTAGGTCAGGGGGTTTGTAATCGCATCAAAGGCAGTCTGAAAGCTGGATGCCCAACACAGTGGGCAGAAGACAAAGGAACGTACTTGGATTATGGTGTTGGCAAAAACGAATGACCAGACCGTGCCTACCGGAAGAAAGGGACCATCTGTCCCGGAGGAAGCACCGACCGTGCTCTGCGCTGTGAGGACGGCCCCTGCATGTCTGTGGGCATGCTGTCAGAGGGGCCGGTCCCTAGAGAAGGCTATCGTGCAAAGGGAGAAATGGTCACTGAGGGACTGAAGACACAGGGACAAGTCAGGGGGGCTAGGCCCGGGCAGTGCTGTGCTCCATAGCGCACAGGCTCACTGTGAGTCACACCTGGCTTGAGGGAGCCTCCTAGCAGCAGCAGCGACTTACTTAGGGAGGTGTCCCTGGCGATCCACTCTTGAGACTCCCTCCTCGGAAACCTTGGAGGCAGCTCTGCTCCGTTGTGCAGCGGACCCCACCCCACGTGAGAACGACTTCTATAAACGTGGGTCCCCGGCGGGGCATTGTTACATGCTTGGCTCTTAACCAGAAGGTCAGAGGTGTGAGTCTACCAGGAAGCTCCTTGGGAGGAAGCCCTAGTGGTTTACGTCGGAACAAGCAGCCACCGCAAACCCTCTGCACACAGTTCTACTCTGACGGACACCGGTGGCCATGAACTACAGTTGGCTACGTGGGAGCTGGCTTCTCCCACAGAAATACATACAAGGGGGCTTCAAAATGGTTCTGGAAACCAGAATCGAAAGGGAATCTTTCCATGAACTCTTTGAAGCCCCTCGAATGCTTAGACAGTTACATACGCACACACGTGAAAAAGCCTTTTCAATGTAAAGAAAGGCCAGCGGAGCAGCCTGCCGCCCATCCCAACGTGGGCCAACACTGCAGTCAGCTGCTGTTGGGCAGCGTTGGCAGAGCAGAGGAAACGGAGCCGACGCCAGGGTTATGCGTGGTAAGTGTGCCCACCTGTCGATCTGTTGTGGTCCACTTCTGGTGGTTAGCCACTGAAAACCGTCTACATGGAGCAGCAGAACACGGTCTAACACATGGGGGAAGGGCTGCCCTCACAGGAAGCCAGCCTCGATGGCTCGTGAGTGTGCGTGGGCACGGATGGAGCAGAGCCTGCCGGGCCTGCATTTGCTGAGGGTGGACGGGCTGCATCAAGGTCGACAGCGTAGGGAGTGGGCTGAAACGGGCTGGACCTGGCCATTCTGGCTGGACTGTCTCGAGTTCTCCTGTGCCAGGAACGGCACACTGAAGAAGAAGGATGTCACTTTATTGTCAGAAAGATCGCTGCGAGAGGATGACACCCGACACCTACCAGGAAGACCAGTTAACGCAACTGCTACTCAAGCGTCCCTACCAGCCACGAAAGCCAAAGACCAAGGAAATTTAAAAATGTTGCCAACTTCTGTTCCGTCTGGGCTCGTCGGGCATGCCATCCAGAGGCGCTGCTGATGGCCGGCGCCTGGAACAGGGAAGCTGACGCGAGGGCTCCGGCATCGCTGCTGACGTCAGAAGCTGGGAGTGAGGCCTTGGTGTAGAAGCGCTGCTAGTCACCAGAGAACTGTGCACCACTAGTGGCTTCTTCATGGCTAATGCCTGTTTTCAACAACATAGACGGCTGCAGATGGAATTCCTGAGAGGAGCGAGGAGGAGGAAGAGCTCCGAAACACAGCCGGGCCGACCGTTCGACAGTCACAGGCAGGTTTAGCTGAACCCGAGGAAAGGTAAAATGAGTCCACAGGCGCCAAAGTGTGAACTGAACTGAGAGCCAAGGTTGAACGCATTGAACACTAACAGCCAGAGACCAGTTAGCTGTGGGATGACAAGCACATCACGCATGGAAAAGAACGAGGTCATCAAAAAGACAGGAAAGAAAGACGGATCAAAAGACTGAAAGTTGACGATGTATGTATGGAAATAATCATCTAAAACTGACCAGGGGTTCGTGAGGGAGGGCGGGTGGGGGAGGGAGGGGGAGAAATGGGGAGCTGATATCAGGGGCTCAAGTGGGAAGAGAATGCTTTGAAAATGATGGCGGCACATGTGCAAATGTGCTTGACACGCTGCATGAATGTATGGACTGTGATTAAGAGATCTAAGAGACCCCAATAAAAGTAAGAGGGAAAAAAAGACTGACATGTGCTCAGATGGGGATTAGCTAGCATGAACTGAACAAATGCCCAAGTAAGAGAGCCGAACATGAAATTTCAAAAACCAAATTTGAGAAGCTAAAGTACTACATGGAAACGTGTAAAGACCTGATGTTGGAGCGCCAAGGGGGAAGTACACAGGTGGCATTTCTCACTCACGCTGAAAGAGCGCAGGGGATACAGCCGCCTAGCTTTCCAATGCTGGAGAGCTCTACGGGCACAGCACTGGACCACACAGGAAGCAGGCTTGGTAGAGTGGAGTGGCAGAGAGGCTGCATCACCGGGCTCAGGTGTGGGAAGTTGTGAGGTTGGCACAGGGCCGGGCAGAGCTTCGTTCTGCTGTGCACGGGGTCGCTATGGGTCCGAGCCGGCTCGAAGCATCGGAAGATGAACACACAGGGTCAGGGCACCAAAAAGAATTGGTCTCTAGTCAACCGTTTCAGGAGGCGAAAGATCTCTGGGATGTTACAGCCCACAGGTGCGCCTGGTCCAAGCTGTGGTTTTTTGAGTCAACGCAAATGTGGGCGACCGGGAAGCGTGACTAAGGAAGACTGAGGAGGAGACGATGTCTGTCACTTTGGGCGGGATGAAGGACACTGCATATGCCACGGGCTGCCAGCAAACGCACAGACCTGTCTTAAAAGCAGTGCAGCCAAACGCTGCTCTGTAGCAAGGACGGTGAGACTTCCTCGCAGGTACTTGGGGCCAGACCCTGCAGAAGGACAGGATGCTGGTGAAGCAGGTCAGCGAGGAGGAAGGCCCTCCCTCAGCAGGATCGCTTCGACAGTGGCTGCCAGTGAGGTCGAGCCTCACAGCAACTGTGAGGAGGGGCGGGGCGCGGCAGGCGGGGCTCCCTGAGTGGAGTCACCGACTGCTGGTACCCAAGAACAACGTGTACAGAACAGATGCATCACATGCAGTTCCTGTGAACACACACCTTTCTTAACTGCTGCCGTGATTCTGGGATTCAGGTCCAGTTGGTCCACGTCCATTGCTCAGTGTCCCTAGGGCAGATCAGAGCACTGGTGGGCTCACCCAGGCAGCTGTGCAGCACGCATGTGGCTCGTGGAGCTGACGTGCTCACTGCAGCACGGCAAGTCTCTCTGTATCAGAGGTCCGAGGAGAGACCTGGCTTCCAGCGATCGGGCAGGACTCCTTCCCCCCACGGCCTAAGGGCCACCCTCCTTGTCATGATGGCTCACGCCTGCCACTTCTGTAGTCACTCTGGAACCTGGGCTGAGCTCACGTCCATGCACTTGAAAATCACCCCTCTCAGAAGACCCAAAACAGTCACACCGATGTGAGCGAGGGGGTCGGAGGGGAGACCCAAAGCAATCTGTAGACAACTGGACATCCCCTCCCAGAAGGGTCACAAGGAAGGGACGAGCCAGCCAGGGTGCAGTATAGCACCGATGAAACACACAACATTCCTCTAGTTCTTTAATGCTTCCAACCCTGCCCACCCCACCCCCCAACTATCATGAGCCCAGTTCTACCTTACAAATCCGACTAGACTGGAGCATGTACACTGGTACACATAAGAGCTCTGGACACATGGAATCCAGGACAGATAAACCCCTCAGGACCAGCAATGGGAGGAGCGATACCATGAGGGGTGAAGGGGGAGAAAGGGGGAACTGATTGCAAGGATCGATGTATTAAACCCCCACCCCCCAGAGGGATGACCAACAGAAACATAGGTGAAGGGGGAGAGCAGGTGGTGTAAGATAGGAAAACAACAATTTATCGAGAGGTCACCAGGGTGCGGGTGTGGGGGAGGGAGGGGAAAAAGAGGAGCTGATACCAAGGGCTCAAGTAGAAAGAAAATGTTTTGAAAATGATGACAACATATGTACAATGTGCTTGACACAATGGATGGATGTACGTATGTATGGTGATAAGAGCAGTAAGAGCCCCAATAAAGTGGGGAGAAACTAAAAAGAAAGGAAAGCACCCCTCAACCCTGAGCAACAGTGCCGATGCCGTGTTGTTTTGCCCTCCGCAGAACATGCCACAAGTGCCCCTACTTACCTCCCCTGGCACGAGACACCTTGTCCAGGCCTTGGGGGCGCTGCCAACTGAAGTGTCTTGCGTGTGCTGCCGTGTGCTGCTCTTGGAACACTGCCAGGTCCTGGAGGGGGTGGAGAGAGGCTGACGCTGCAGGGTGTCGAGGAGGTACCCGCACACGAGTCTTCCTCAACCTGTGCCTGACCATCAGGGAGTTGTGCCTCCAAGCCACCCCCCGGGGTCCTGGTGTCCTCCTGGAAGAGCAGCAGCCCTTGCGGTGGCAGGGACCTTGGGTAGCCACGGTACTGTCAGCACACCTGCCCAACCTCTAGTCCCGGGCTGAACACATCTTTCCCAGCAGCCCCTTGCTGCCTCTGGACACTCGGGCCAAGGACGGAGGGCGAGGGGAAGGTTGAGCCTGCATCCAGATCCAGGCCACAGCCCTGGAACAAGGTCTGGTCCGTCCCTCAGGTTTGCAGCATCCCGTGCCTCAGGCTTGGAGGCCAGGACTTGAGCAAGCCTTTCTTTGCAGAGTTTAGAAGATAAACTGGGATAAAGTCACATTGTTTCTGAAATGTGAACGTGGCCACTCTGTGTGAGCCGCCCACAGTGTCTCAACTACAGGTTGTGGCCCACAGCAGGCCTGGCAGCCTCTCTCCAGCTGACTGCCCATGTGGGGCTGGGGAGGTGTCCCTGACAGGCCAAGTGCTGCCTCCAGAAACAACCACTTGTCTGAGAGGCCATGTGGCTCGCTGGCTCTAGGCAGTCGGAGCATCTAGCACAGTGGTTCTCAACCTGTGGGTCTCGACCCCTTTGGAGTAAGACCATTGGAAAACATATTTGCGATGGTCTTAGGAACCGAGACACTACTCCTCTATCCGTCTCCAGGTGGGTCCACCCACATGCAGATACACCCACATACGAGTACACAGCACGAAGACTGTTACCCATGCTACACCATGCTTCAAGACAAAATTTCATTTATTTGTTATTAGAAGTAAATATTTCACAATTACATATTGTTTTTATGATTGGTCACTATGCTTTATGTTCAACTTGTAACAATGAAAATACATCCTACATATCAGATATTTACATTACAATTCATAACAGTAGCAAAATGACAGTGATGAAGTAGCAACGAAAATAATTTTTTGGTTGGGGGTCCCCACCACACTAGGAACTGTATGGCAGGGTCGCAGCATGAGGAAGGTGGACAGCCACGGCTCAGAAGTTGGGCTCATGGAGGGACCAATGAGGGGAGAGAGCCGGCGATGGACTTGGGCACAGAGGACCACCGGTGCCTAATATGCCAGGGTCTGGGGGAGAAGACAGCAGGGTGCTCACTGCACAGGCTGTGCTGGGCGCTCAGGGAGCACCTTCTGGGGGTCCTAATCCTACGGGCTGTATGTGGCGGCTCCAGCTGGGACCCCGGGCTGTGTGGTTGGGAGCAGGTGCTAGCAGAGGGGGCTGCGACACAGCTGGGAGCAAGCTGCACCTGAAGCCCAAGAGCAGGGGTGCTTGCAGTCATGCTGTGTGAGGGGGTGCCGGGGCCCCTGGGCCTTGGTCTCCCCATGTTCTGGTCCCACAAGGAGCAGGGGTGTGAATGGCTTGTGCTTTCTAATCAGGGGGATGGACAGCAGTGGGGTGGGTGGGCTAGAGCACCTTCTGGGAGCTTCCAGGCTCCAGAACCATCTAGGGGACATTAGCATGACAGGCAGCTGATCTTAGCTGATCTGACAAATTACCAAAGAAGGAAACGTTGGCCCGAGCAGCCCATCAAATGTGAGTTTCCGGAACCCCCAGTCACTGCTCGGCCTAGGCACGCTCCCTGGGAGGAGAGGTCAGGGTGCGGGAAGTGCTGAGGCTACACTGGGTGCTAAATCCATCCCAGCACCCCCCCACACCCCCAGTTCCAGCACCTTCCGAAGTTAAGCGTGGCTCCATCTGCTCGTTACATGGAGCGCAGACCTCTGAGGGCTACGACAGAGGTTGGGTGTCCAGAGTGTCCCCCACCTCAATCCCATCCCAGGTCTTCAGACACGGTTACCCAACCAGACCAGGGCTGGGTGGGCCCAGGAGCTCATGTACCACCCCTTTTGAAGTGGCTGTAATAGCTCTTCCTGTGCCAAGTTCACTATGGACGGGGAGGGAGGCTCGGTGGTGAGCCAGTCTCTGTGTGGGCCATCTGCCTCTGCTCTCTGGAACAGCAGCTTGAGGAAATGCCCCATGATGCTCCAGAGTTCCTGTTGCCCTAGTTTCCGATGCCAGGAGGGTTGCAACTTTTCCCAGGCTGGTGGACATTCCTGGGTGGCTATAAACCATCTGTGGCCTGATTCTTCTGGCTGGCCCTGGGCTGTAGCCTGCCTGTGACTGGTACGGCCTCGAAAGGGTTACTCAACAGACCAGTCAGTGAGGTGACTACAGCCGACCAGAGGTCACTGGTCACTTCTGGAAGCCAGGCCCTGAAATGGACAAGGAGTTGTGTAGATGAACAGCCAACCCTCAGTTTGGAGGCACAGAAAGAGAGGCAGTGGGGAGAGGCAGGGGGAGTGAGCGGTAAGCCTGAGAAGAGTCCCCAGGGGCCAGCCAGGGATGACAGGAGGCGGGGCTGAGGGGCTGAGGAGCGGAGAGCCAGGCTGCACTGTATGCCTCCTGGCCTGGAGCCGGAGCTCCTGGGTCCCGATCCTGAGCTGCCGCTGGTTATTTCCTTGATAACCCACCTAACTGTCAGTGCCGTCTGTGAGGGCCGCTGTGGAGAAGCCGCTGGTGTCAGGATGGGTGAGAAGGTTGGGGAGAGGAGGTATGCATGTCTGACTGTCACCCAAAGATTCAGGTACTGAAGCTGCCATTACTGCCACCATCACTACGTCCTAGATTTCATAGCAGATATCATGCAGGGTCACATGCTGGGCTGCTAACTATCGCCAAGGTCAGTGGTTTGAATCCACCGGCTGCCCTGTGGGAGAAACAAGGCAGTCTGCTTCTATAAAGATGATAGCTTTGGAAACCCTGTGGGGCAGCACTGCTGTCCTATAGGGTCCCTAGAAGTCTGACTGAATCAACTCCGGGTCAGTAGGTTTGGTGGCATCGGGTCTGGTCAAGCAGCTCCACTGGCCTCTCCTGAAAACCACCAAAGACCATGTATGCTAAATGTTCAAGTGTCCCCTCTCGGTCACCGATGTCCACTCAGATCATACAGTCCTCCTGTGCATTTGACAACCTATGGCCCTTCCAAAGTGACCCTCACCTCCGATCCAATGTCTATTGGGTTGCGGTGGGCGGGTGCCCTCTCACCTGACCACTACCGCTCCTCCAACACACACCTGCTCTCCCTGTGTCTCCGCGGGCGAGTCCCGAGTGTCCCTGCCCACCGGCCACCGCGCGGAGCACGGAGCACTGTTCCCGCGCCCCGGCGGCCCGCTCCCACACCTCAGCGCCGCCCCCACCATCCATTCTGGCCCCGCCCCCAAGGGCACCGCCCTTCAACACCTCAGCCCCACGCCGCAGCTCCGCCCCGGGCCGCAAATCTACCACCGCGCCGTCTGCGCCCCCTTCCCCCTCCAGACACGCTGACCCCGCCCCGGCCTCTATCCGCCCAGCCTCCGGGCCAGAACCCCGCGCCCTGAGTCCCGCCACCCGCACACCAACCCGGTCTCCAACTCCAGACCCCTCAGCGTCCTCACCCGCGCTCACTCCACCGCGCTTCGCGCTCCTTTCGCAGCGCCCCGCCCCCCGCCGCCTCCTCTCCCAATGAGCGCCGGGCGCCCGCGCAGCCTGCACCAGTAAGAGACGAGGTTTACTAACGTCACTGGTAGATTAACCAATCCAAAGTCTCAGCCTCCCCAAGAGAGGCGGAGCTTGTCTGGGTCCGGCCTCACCGCCGATTGGTGACTGTCCGCAGAGGTGGCCTCGTGTGGATTGGCTCAGGAGACAATGGGCGGGTCCCAAGCTCCGATTGGTGAGCGCTCAGGGCTGTGCTCGGCGATTGGGCGCCGGCGCAGTCAGCGGGTCGAGAGGGGGGCGGGCGGGGCGTGGGCGTCGCTGGCCGGCCAGCGGCGGCGTTAGTGTCGCGGGTTGCGGCGTCATGTCCTCGGAGGTGGCCGCGCGCCGGGACGCCAAGAAATTGGTGCGGTCGCCGAGCGGCCTGCGCATGGTGCCTGAGCACCGCGCCTTCGGCAGCCCCTTCGGCCTGGAGGAGCCGCAGTGGGTCCCGGACAAGGAGGTACAGCGCCGCGCCCCCACCCTGCTCCCCCAGGCCCGGTGCGCCCCCGGTCCCGTGCCTCCCGTGGGGTCCTCCGGAAGTCCCCTAGCCCCGTGCCTTCCCAGAACTGCGCGCTTCTCTTGGGGCCCCCTGGGCGGGACCCTGCCCTTTATTGGGGTACCTGTACACCCTGTGGGACCGTCACGACCCCACCCATACACATGAGGTATCTCCCCCACTGCATGACGATCTTGTCCCATCCTGGTCCCAGGCCCTTGAGCCCCCCCCGCTATTCTCCTCCACCCCGTCCCACTCGGTGACCCCTCCCCCACTGACCTCGCCCTTTGCTGCCCCGGCACCCTCACCACCAGGGCCGCTAGTCTGGTTGGTCCCTGGAAGTGACCGCCCCACCCCCGCCCCTCCAGCACCTCCTACTTTCTCTTCTCCCCCTGGCCCCTCGGTTCTGTTTATGACGACTGACAGCAACGCCCCCCCCCCCCCCACCACCCCCCCCCCCCCCCCCCCAATGGCCCTGCCCCTGGCCACTGTGAGATCCATTAACCCCACAGCCTGGGCCGAGGTGCTGAACCCTGGCCGACTCAGGTCTGCTGGTGGGCCCCACCTGCGCTGGGAAGGGGGTGGTGTGGACAGCATAGCTGGGCCCTCCTCCGGGCAGAGTCCAGGGGTGGGGGCAGCTCAGTGCTGCCACCTACTGCTGGAGGGGTGTCCCCTCGGAGCCGTCAGCACCCTACAAACAGAGCTCTGAGGGGAGGGCCTGTTATCTTATCTCAGCTCCCCAGGACACACCACCACACAGGTTTGTTTAAAGGTGAGGCCAGGGGCAGGACCTGGATGTAGCTGAGCCCCGCTCTGGTGGCCCCACCCTCTGTTTAGAGTAGGAAGCCTCCTTTGCCTCAGGCATGCCCTGATTCAGGTGACCCTACTCGCCAGTCTGGTGGCTCTGGCCCTTGCCTGCCCCCCTGTGCACCCACAGAACGTACCTGCCCCTCACAGCACCCTGGCCAAGCTGCAGACATTCTTAAAACAGAGAACCGGGGCTTGAGCGAGCACAGGTCTCCGGCAGGACACAGCCAGGGAAGGGCCCAGGCAGCAGAGGTTGAGGAGCCAAGTTTTGCCAAGGAGCTGGGGTGGTAAAGAAGCAGCCCATGTACAGTGGGGTGGAAGGGGCCTGACCCCCTGGGACTGCCCTTCAGTTGAGGGTCTGTGTCTGGTCTAAAACCGCATGCAGAGGGATCCATAAAGATGGAGAGTCGTAGGGACCCACAGCAATTGCTCTGTCCAGGGGCTGCTGAGTTTGGGGTTGGGTCTGCCAGCATGACCCGTGGTATGACCTACACTGGAGATTGCTTACAGAGATACCGACAAGGCACAGGCCTCAGTGTGTCTCCCTGGGGGACACCATAATCCCTGCCAACCTCTATTCTGGGCTTGTGGGGTGTTCGGGAAGCTGGTGGAGTGGGATTTGTGGGAGCTGGGGATGGACAGAAAGAGCTGGGTAAAACCTGGTGGCCGACACCACCTTTAATCTCCCTCTGTGTGTCATGTGTTCACCCCCCCTCCACCCCCCACGTCTTCACTTCAGCAGAAAGAACTGGCATCCAACATGCTCCTTGTACTGGGGACCCTGAGCCAGGCTCTCAGTGCAGCCCCTGGAGATGTGCAGAGAATTGGGGGGTGGGCAGGGTGCATCTCTGCCTGGGCCTCTGCACACTCAGGTCCTCACCGGTGTGCCTCAGGACCCTGCCTCCCTTGCAGGGACCCTGCTTCTCAGTGTGAGGACAGGTGGGGGATCTCGGGTGTGGGTGGGGCACCAGTTAACTGCTGTCAGGAGGAGCCTGCAGCCAGTACCTTCAAGCCCTGGTGTTGGCCTGTCCCTTCCCCTGTGGGACCCAGGGGGACAGACCTGTACCACATGGATGCTTGGTTATACCACAGGGCCTGACAGATGATCACCCGCATTGGGTGGGGGCTTGTCAGGCATGGAGATGCTGCTCTTCCCAAGGGATACTCCTTTAGGGACACAACGGCTTCCCCTCGATTTCTCCCTCCCTTGTCCCTCCCCCGCCCGCACATGCACACCCCTCCCTGGGAAGAAGTCCCCTGTGTATCTGTTCCTACCCACTTCCCTGATTCCTCCTGGTGTGTGTGGGTGGGTGGGGGGCATGGCTGCACCCCGGGTTCTCCTTGCACTGCGTGTGACCCCTTAAGGAATGGGCTGGGCACAGGCTCATTTAGTGTTTGTGGGAGGCATGGATTTACCCTTTACAAGGAACTCTCTTTTAATAAAGGCGTGTGAATGTGTGTCAGGTTTGGACGGACTTGAGGGCTTCCTTGTGGGGGATGGCATTCCTCAGCAGGGCTCATGGGACCTCGGGCAGGTCCACCATGGCTGTGGGCACCAGGAGGGCAGCTTTTGAGAATCCGTCACAGCTCTGCTAGCTCTGTTCACAGTGTGCTGGCCCCAGGGAGCAGAAGGGAGGCGCAGGGCCGGGGTGTCTTCCATGTGCTTTTGGGGGGAGTGGGCCTCTCCAGCTGCTCACCGCCCTCAGTCCCAGAAGCTGGCTGCAGGGTACGGCCATGTCCTCTCTCTGTCTGCCTCATTACCTCAGTCTCTCATTCCATCTCTCCCTGGCCATCACTACCCAGAGCCACCTCCTGATCCCCCTCCGATGGCCCCCCAGGCGCTGTCTTGTTGGGCGACTGTGCTGCTGTTGGCAGCTGGCTCCACCCTCTCTCTCCATATGGTGCACACGTATGACTCACGCCTGGTGTTGCCGGTTCTCCTCCTAGAATAACTTCTCTTCGACCCTCCGAGAGAGCTGCCGTGGCCAGCGAGCCTGGCAGGAGGCCTGTGTGTGCCCAGCCAGCTCTCCTTGGAGCCTGGGTTAGGGCTTGGCCGGTTTCACTCCCTGTTCTGCCCGCACCGCCTCTTTCTCTCTCCTCACATCAGATGCCTGGGGAGAGAGGAGGCGGGTGCAGAGGGGCCCGAGGGCACTTTCTGTAAAGGGTTTCTGTCTTGACCGGGTGTCTGCATTTGTCAAAAAGCAATAAACTGTAAATTCTAGAAATAATGTTTTGGAGTATAACCAACCAACCAAGAGCCCTGCTGGTTGGTTATGTTGGGTGACTAACCATGAGGCAGGTGGTTCCATCCACCAGCCTCCAGACAGGCTGCCGAGGACACCTGACACAGGGTCACTCACTGAGAGTCAATCTTGACGGCAGGGGGAGATGGAACCAGCCAGAAATGACCTCGCTGAAAAGTTCTCAGGACGGCCTCCATCTTCAGAGTCATGGGCCACTTCTAGGTGACGAACACTACTAGGGTTACCAGGGGACAGATTCCAAATCCTAGGAGTGGACTTATGCTCAGAAAGTGGTCTTTCAACTTGTTTCACCCCACCCCCCAATCCCCATGGTAATCTGGAGTTCTGTCCATAGTGACGGCCCGGCAGTGCCATCCTCTGCCAGGCCCGAGTGGGAGCATCTGGTGGCGTGGCTGCCTCCCTGCTGTTGGGCCTCACTCCTGAGACGGTTCTTGGGCTTTCTGTGGCCAGACCATGTGCAGGACCGGGGCATGTCCTATGTGGAGTGCCCGGAGGCCTGGAGTTGCTAGCACACAGTGTCCCAGCATGAGGGCAGCGTGGGCTGGGAGGAGCTGGCCCTGCGTGGTGGGTGCAGACCTGCAGACGGCTCCAACTAGTGGGCGGGGCGGGGCGGGGCGGGGCGGGGGAGGGGAGGTTTCCAAGCCCAGAGCAGGTGGGAGTCAAGAGCAGCCAGGTGACCATTCACCGGACTCCGAGGCAGACTCAGGCATGCGGTGCTGGGCGGCAGCACCCTGCAGCTGGGCACGCTGAGCCATGGAGGGGCACTCAGGACCAACTGCCCATGGGCTCCCACAGCTGGAACTGTCGTGGGGCAGGAGCGAGGTCCCCCATCTTCACTGTCCCTCTGGGTCTGCCTTTGAGTGATGGGAGGGTGGTGAGGGCGGCCACATGCCCCTGCCAAGGACCCGGTCAGCCGAAAGTGGTCAGTGAGGAGGAGGAGAAGGCCCCAGACCCACGGCCCCAAGTCCAGAAGGTCCCTTACCTGGTCTTGCTAAGCATGTGATCAGGGTGGAAGAGTTCACCCTCCCTCTGGACAGCCTGACCCTGGACCCCATGGCCTGTGCTGCATCGAGCCACTGCTGCCCCTGCCCCTGAGGGCCCCAGTACACCAGGAACGGGCTTGTCTCTGGGGACCGCTGTGCCTGTACCAGCTGGTGGCAACACTAAAGGAGGACGAGGCAGACAGTCTACTCCCCCTACACCCCCCACCTCCCCCCCCCAGCAATCCATCCTTCCAGCGCCTCCTGTGCCAGCGGTGGGGCTGAGGAGGGTTGGGGGTTCCACAAGGCGGTGGGGGGGGGGCAGATTGGCCGCTTACAGACAACTTTGGGGATACTTGTCCGTCCCACCCCCATCCTTAGGAGGACCTGTGGCCCTTAACCAGCCTTCAAGTACCCCTTCTATGGGCAGAGGTTGTGAGGACGGGTGCTTGTCCCCATCTTCCCCCTCCCCTCACCGTGGGCAGGCCCAGGTGATAACTCTCCCCAATGAGCAGGGCCAGTTGACACCTTTGACCTGGATGGGACCAGGTGACTCTGTGGGCGGGGCTATGAGCCCCGTGGGGGTGGGGCCTGCCATAAGAAGCTGAGTGACAGGGTGGACATTCACACTGTCTCCTCTTTCTAGTGCCCCAGGTGCATGCAGTGTGACACCAAGTTTGACTTCATCACCAGAAAGGTGAGAGGACACAGCGTGCAGAGGTTGGGCCCAAGGTGGCAGGTCGCTATGGGGCTCGGGGTGGCATTACTGATTTTCCCATTTTAAACACACCTGCAGGCCAGGTGGGGTGTGTGTGTCTCTGCATTTGTGTGCAACTGGGCGGGCCAGCTTGGCCCGTGTGGGGTGTGTCAGTGAGTGACCAGCTAGCTGTATGTGCAGGTGTGTATCCTGTCTGATGGGCTGGGGGGGCAGGGTTGCCCATGTGTGGGGAGTGTGTCTGTGTGACCAACTAACTGGGTGGGCCAGGGAGTGGCGCCTGTGTCTGGCCTGGTGTGTGGGCCTGTGTTGTGTCTGACTGTGGCTGTGTGTGGGCACCTGTCCTGTGTGACACCTGGCCATTCCTGACCCGAGGCCTGTCCACTGCAGCACCACTGCCGCCGGTGCGGGAGGTGCTTCTGTGACCGGTGCTGTAGCCAGAAGGTGGCGCTACCGCGCATGTGCTTTGTGGACCCTGTGCGGCAGTGCGCGGAGTGTGCCCTGGTGTCGCAGCGGGAGGCCGAGTTCTATGACAAGCAGCTCAAGGTGCTCATCAGCGGTAGGTGCTGCTGCACGACGGCCCTCGGCCCCACCCCCACCCCACCCCAGTTCACCCCAGCATTGGCTGGTTCCCCCACCCCCACCAAATGGTCTAAGGGCTGCCATCCAGAATGGAGGCTCAGGAGGGCCAAGGTCTGATGACTGTGGAGGCCTAGGTGCCCCTGACGTGGGTCCCATGCCCATCCTGTTGCTGGCCTTGACTCCCCAGGCTCCAATCCCTCTAGGCGAGCTGGGCACTCTGGCCCCATGGGGTGCTGGGTGCCCTCACCCTTCATCACCCTGGCTAAGGCCCCTGGCCAGGACGTGCTGTGACCAATCTGGATGAGGCCAGGCTGGCGTGTTCATGCTGGCTTGTGTCCCAGGGGCCCCCTTCCTCGTGACCTTTGGGAAGTCGGAGACGTCGGAGGCGATGGTCTGCCGCCTTTCCAACAACCAGAGGTGAGAGCTAGCCTGCGGGCGCCTGGAACCTCGGCCCCAGGCTTCCCATCTGAACAGCAGTTTGGTTTCTAGGTTCTTGGTTCTGGACGGGGACAGCCATTATGAGATTGAAATCACACACATATCCACCATGCAGATCCTGACAGAAGGCCTTCCTCCAGGAGGTAACGCTCGTGGTCTCCTCAGGGTGGTGCGGACCGGCATGCTGGTAACCTGAGTGGGAACTGGCCTGGCAAAAACGTGCCAGCCGTGTCCGACAACCATCCCTCTGTAAACACTCTTGCCATGCCTGTGTGCTCACTGCCGGGGGGAGGGGAGGAAGCGAAGTAGAGCTCTGACTCTGCTCCCACAAAGTCGCGAGGTCTCGGATCAGGAGCCGGTGTCCGGTGTCCAACGTGTCTCCCTGCTGTGAGTGTGAGCAGCACGCCTTCCTTGCCTGCACTGGGCTGTCTCCGCCTCCCGGCCTTTCTGCTTCCTGTCCTCCGTCACCCTTGACTATTCCTTCTCTCTCTCCACTGCTCCCACCCTCTCGATGTAGAGACAGACACGTACACCAGCCTCCTGGAGAGCCTGCCCGCCTCTGAAGGTCAGCGCCCCCCTGGCTCTCCCAGCATGCTGCAGGCCCTCCCGCCCTGGTGGCGGTCCGGTCATGGTGACCAGTCATTTCAGGGTGGGTGGTGGTAGCCATTGGGATGTGGTGACCCCGTGCCTGTGGGGTCGGCTGTGGTGATGGTGGCAGGAGGGATGTCCGGTAGGAAACCGTCACCTGCTCGGGTTGAAGTGTGTACCCCTTCCTGGGCAGAGCTTAGGTGCCAGGTGGGCAAGGCCGTCGGGGGCCACAGGTAGAGAAGCCCGGCAGCAGGCAGCAGTCTTGCCCCCAGGGCGCTCTGGCACTGTCTCTGGGTGTTTTTTCTGACCAAGGCTAGTGCTTCTAGCACCTCTGTCCTTAAGGGCTCATCTGAGTGCTGGGGTGGGGAGTGAGGCCGCCTGTGTGTCCCTCGGCCTGCTGCCTCCCCTGTCCAAGTAGAAGGTTGGCCTGGGCAGTGGGGCTTCTGGTACCCAGTGTCCTGTGATGTTTCAGGGTAAGAGTGTTGGGCTTTTGGCCAGAAGGTGTTTGACAGGCACAAAAGCAGCCACGGACGGTAAGGAAACAGGAGGCAGGGCTGTTTCAGGAGAACTTTATTTACAAGCATAGATGGGCTGACGGCTCTGCTCTAGGTGCTTACTAGGGGACCCTTGCCTGGAAACCAGTGAGGACTGGCAGACCCAGGAGCCCAGAGCAGGAGCCTCCAGGGACCCCAGTCCCACGCACAGGTGGCCTATCCGACCGTGGCCTTGAGTCTGAGAGCCATGTCTGGTGTGGTTTTTGCTTGGGAAGGCCTGGCATGCCAGTGGGTTTGAAGCCCCGTAGGGAAGTGGTGGGTGTGAGCTGGCTGGCGGGCAGGCTGCTCCGAGCGGCCTCTTGCCAGGGTGGGACTGGAACAGTGCATCGCAGGGCAGAGCCTCCTCGGGGTCCAGGGTGTCCGGGCCCCACAGGGAAGTGGCTGGGTCGAGGTCTCTGGTGTCAGCCCTGGGCTGCTGGGCTGGGCTGGGCTGGGCAGGGCATTTCTCCTCGGCTCACGAGAGGCTTGACTGGCTGGGCCACACCTGGTTGAGGTGTGGCTGGCTGAGGGCAGTTGTAGCTCTGTACTGGAAGAGCCTTTGAAAGAAAGCCTCCCCCCCACCCCCCTGCCATCTACACACACACAGGCGACAACCAGCAGTGACCCGGGCCAGCCACTTGGTGCAGAGTCATGTGGTTCAGTCGGCACCAGGCACCTGGCCCATTCTCAACATCTGAACCTTTTTCTGCGTTCTGGGTGCACCAAGGTCAGGCTGCCGATGGCAAGGGCTGCCCACCTTCAGGGTGGAAGGGAAGGTGGGCCCCGGGGACCATCTTACCTTTACATCTCCTCCCAGGAGGCAGTGCGCGGGCTTCCGGCATGCTCCTGCAGTACACCATGCCCGGGGCAGAAAGCGTGACCCAGCTGAAGCTCACGGCCGGGGAGGATGCCAACGCCAGCAAGAGGCCTGCGACCACGTGGCTGGTGGCCATGCACAAGGTACTGCTGGCCCAGGGTGAGGGTCTGCCCACCACTCTCTGGTGCCCGCCTGCTGCCGAGTGCTGAGTCTGGTTGTCCTACAGGCTGCCAAGCTCCTCTATGAATCACGGGACCAGTGATGACTGACAGGACAGGCGCTGCCCCCCCAGCGCTTGGGTACATTCAAGCCCTTGGAGCCGTGTCCCTGAGCTTGTCTGTGTGACACGCCCCAGCTGTTAGTGCCCGCTCAGCGTGCTAGCCTGCCAGTACCAACGGGGGGAGGCAGCCACATTACACACTACTCCGCCTACCCCGCACTGTGCATTTTGCGGCCCAGGCTCACTAGAAGGCTCTGCCCACCAGTGCTCACTAACCAACTCTTCCACAGAATGCCTCCCCGCCCCCGCCCCCCAACCCTGGGGTGGTGGTGGTGCTCAGGTGTCCACTGGGCCTCATGTCTTTCCTGTGCCTGCACGGTCTGCCTTAGCCCGGTTTCTGGACTGTCCACCCTCTGTCACATCTCAACTGAACACACTTTTGATACAAAGGGGACGCCACCAGCTTCATTTTAGGCCCTTCTCACTCACTGCTCCACTTTCTTAAATGGCTGCAACAGCAGTTTGTACAGAAAGCTTATGATTAAACCTATTTTGAAAACACAGAGCGGCTGCCTCACTGTGTGTGTGCTCCGGTGTCTGCTAAGAAGGACGGCAGCGGCTGGCAGGTGGGAGCAGTTTATTGTGCACCAACACCGAGTCTCACACTGTGAGGTTTCTCGTCAAACGCACAGGCAGTGAGCCGTGACCAGCCAGCGTCAGGGACAGTGCACCCATGTGCACAGCTGACCCACATGGCAGGGCCTCCAGCCTGCAGCTTCAAGAGGACAACTGCAGCGTCCGAGTCTGGGGGGCAGTCCAGTGGGAGCAGAGGTCAGCAGGACCACCTTTTCAAGTCCAATCCCACTGCGTCCCCACCCACCGTGGGCCAGAGGCTCTGCGTCAGGCCAGGGGGAGGGGGCAGCGGGGAGCTCGTTGGGCTTCTGTAGAGAAGTCAGCCAAGGGCCTCCTCAGCTGGGCCTCCATAGCCCTTAGGCCCCTGCACTGAGGGCTCTTTGGGGAGGAGAGGGGAGGGAGCATGGAGTACAAAGGTGTCTTCAGGGGCCTAGCCCACCTGCCATGGGGAACAAGGGACTTCTCACTGGCAACAGGGGTGGGGTTCTGAAGCTGGGCATGTGAATGTACAGAAATTGACATGACCGTGTCTGGAGGCAGTGCCCCTCGACGGGCCGTGCCGTGCTGGGTTCCATGAGGACACGTACTTCAGGGGGCAGGGCCAGATGGCTCCTCAGGGCCCGAGTGGTCAAGCGAGTGTCCGCTGCCGAGGCTTGATCCGTGGATATAACTGGGGAAACGGAATCGTCAGTGCCAGGAGAAGGGTGCTGAGGGGCCACTAAAGGGTGCTGAGGGGCCACCAGGGCAGTTGTTCACATGCCCACCCAGGGCCCACGTGGTTTCACAGCCTCCCTGTCTCTGATGGCGCTGAACCCCAGTCTTGTCTGGGCAACCCTGCTGTGTTCTATGGGCACCTGGCCCTGGGGGAGGTCCTGCCTGTGAGGCTCTGTACCAGCTGCCAGCTCCCCTCCCTCTGTTAAAAGAGCAGAGGCTACAAACCTCCCACACAGTAGCCTCACCCTCCTCGCCTGAGAGAGGTCTGGGCACAGAGCACGTTGTCGTCTCCAGTCTCTGGCTCATGGTCATACTGGGGTCCCCCTTCAGCAACTCAGCAGGCTTGGAGGAAGAGCTGATTGCTTCCTTCCTGGCCAGGGTGTGAGACCACTTACCCCCAGCAGATTCTTGGGCACATAGCCCTCCCGGTCTCCCAGGCAAGCCCACCACCACTCAGTTTCGCTCTCATCCTTGCGTCTCAGGATGGTGATAGCGTCCCCTTCATGGAAGGAGAGCTCGTCGCTGTGCTGGGCCTCGTAGTCCCACAGCGCGTACACCACGCCTTTGTTCATCACACCCAGCTTCTCCTGGACACCTGCGGGAGAGCGGGCGTCAGGGCTGTGGGACTTGGGAGCCCGGCTGTCCTGAAGAGGCCGAGAAGCCAGGGCCCTGCAGGTGCCACGCCTCTCCAAGTTCCCAAGGGCAGACTCATCTTCTAAGGTGGCAAACTACCCACAGCAGTGATCACACATGGCACAATAGCTCCGAATGGCAAGAGCACTGTGGCTGCCTGGTGCCTCAGCTTCGTGGCGCC